CCCCCCCCCCAATTAATGCTCTAGTTACGACTCTGATGCCCTTGGACCCCTGTGGTAATCCACCCCCTTTGGAAAATCTTTACCCCCTCTAACAAATCAGGTCAGATCTTAACTAGTTAACATTTACTAAGTTTTGGACTTTTTAAGTCTTTGATATGGTACGGGCAATGTGGAAAATGGGCTTTAATTTTAATTAACATTGGTTTTAATTAATAAATCAAAAAAATTTTCATTTCAAAACACTTAATTTAAAAATATATTTGTGTTGGTTCGTTACTCACTCCCTCTTTTTGTCACATGTTATTTATGCATATTGAAATTTTAATTTTCATCAGATATAATTTGATTACTTGTATATAATTCTAGGTTGTCCGTCGTAACTTTTTTTTGGTGCAACACAAACGATGTCTGGAGGACCTGCTGCCGATGTTTTGCAACTAAAGGAAGAGGATGTTGTGAAGTTCCTGCTGTCAGGAACCCATTTAGGATCTAGTAATGTCGATTTCCAAATGCAGTGCTACATATACAAGAAGAAACCCGATGGTATTGTGGATAATATTATACTTGCTATATGATTAGGAATGTTGGGTATCAGATGTGCTGGAAAAATTATGCCGATATTATTGGTACAGCAGTTTTTCGGCTTTTAAATTAGATAGGAAAATTCCTTAGTGGAAATTTGAAGGAAATTTTGATTTTGAATAATTCCAAAAGTGGGAACACTGTTTATGATAATTTCAAAATTCAAAGCTGTTGACATTGTTTTTAACACAAAACGTTTACTTCTTTTACTTTGCATTTGAGTAAAACAAAGATTGATGATTTTGCCATATGTATGGTGATAAATTTGATATGGTATACCAAAAAATCTGATATATTTATACAGAAATTTTGGTATATCGGTATGACCGTTAAACCGATATTAGTTTCAATGCCAATATTTTTGGTATATTGGTATACCAAACATTCCTAGTTATGACCAAAGACTTTGGTTTAGGTGTGTATATCTTTAATCTCCGCAAAACCTGGGAGAAATTGGTGATGGCCGCTCGTATCATTGTTGCCATTGAGAATCCTGCTGATGTTTGCGTTATTTCTGCTCGACCTTACAGTCAGGTTTGTCTTTTTGGTTTTGAATCTTTATGAATTAGTTTTGGAGTCTGTAGTGGGCTACTTAATCTACTGAATTAGTATTTTTCATAACACTTTTCAGTGTTTTGCATCAGTACTTAGAATAATGTGTGTATGATATACCAGACTAGTATACATGTATATTATGAAAATAATTTAATAAATAAAATAATTAATTAGAAAATAATAATTAGGCGTTAAAAAAAACCCTGTGGTTCCGGTTTCATATCGCAAAAAAATTAGGGTCGGTAGGTCGGAAATAATTTTTTTTTTGAATATTTTCAGGGTTCGAATTAATTCAGAAAAAATGGTTCGTGAATTAATTTTTTTATTTTAAGGAAATTTTAAGGAATTTTCAAGGAATTTTCTCCAATTGGAAGTTAGAAAGTGGAAGCACTGCAATTTTCAAAAATGTAATATACATCGCAAACTCGCAAAGAAATAGAATTTTGGGTGGGATTATAATCCGTTTTTAAGTACAATCTAACAACAATACCTTCAGAATATATGATCCTTCATCACATTTACAAAGAACTGAATTTTTTATTGTATATTTTTATCAATTTGAGAGACTTTTGATTCGTGATTTTGGGTTCGTGAAAGGTGAAAATTGATTCGTGATTCATGAATCACGAACCGTTATTTCAAACCCTGATTTTTTTTCATGTTTTTTTTACTAATTATTGTGACACAGTGGTGTGACAACAGACGCCATTTTGGCAGCAACCCGCAACCACCCGGAGAAAATAGGGTCGCACGGTCAATCGGGTTGAAAAAATAATAGGGTTGGCAGAAAAAAATAGGGTCGGGAACCGCAACCACAGATTTTTTTTTACGCCTTAGTTCATCTTTAGTGATTGTGCAACAATCGGAAAGTACCGATTATTCATGTCACAATGGGTCATTCCAGAAAAGATCCATACCCCCCTACGGAGGAAATCGAAATTAACCCCCTCCCCCCCTTCGGACATCCTTGAATGGTTCATCCTCCCCCCCTCTCCGGACATCCAAGCCCAAAATTACCCCCTCCCCTTCGGACATCCACTATTTCTAAATTTTTCTAAAGGCTACCTCGCCGTTTGAAAACGTCACCGAAAATTAGACTACGTTCACACTACGCGCGAGCGAACTAATGCGGCCAGAATTTACGTGTGTTCATACTACCGCCATTACAGTTTGTTTACAAATTGAATTAGCACTCGTGTAAACCCAAAATATTTCAAGTAGACCCAAGAAATTTAACTGAAAAGCATTCAAGTTTACACGTTTGTGTTCACACGAAGCTATCAAGCGCTCCGCCGTTTTCACCTCGCTCCGTTTAGAAACCGTGCTCAAATTGTTACGGCAAAAGTGACGTGAAAGTTTTCAAACGATTTCGCTCCAGCATAGAGTGAATTAGCGATGGCTTATTGTGACTTTTCTACGCTGTTCTCAAATAGCTCCGGCGTGGCGGAACACTTGGCGGCTTCTTGTGACTTGCGAACACAAACACGTGGCAGGTTTTGTCGGATAATTTGCAGAAATTCACTTCGAAATTCGTTCAAGTAAAATTCGGACTGAAATTTGATGTAACTTGCGACTGATTGACAAGCGTTGCTGTGTTTACTTACATGTTAATGCATTTTTTAGTATTACTGCATTCCTTTAATATGAAAGCCATTTCTATTTTCTAGACACGCACCTCGCAAGGAAGCTTTATTGACTATATACTAAAACAAATTGTTTTGAGTTCAGTTCACATAGCAGTCTCTTAATTCGAGCAACAGTTTAATAACTATTATTTTTAACACTTGAATAATTCAAACTTATATATGGCGAACGAAAACTGCAAACTATATAAATAAAGCGGGCCAATTTTCGACTCATTCTCAACATGCAGGATACGCTGTTACAGCGAGTTAGTTTTTGGTGGCCATGCATGCAAAAGTGGGCCGCTTATTTTGCTTACAAGTTACGTGGACGTATAATTATTGCTGTTACATAAACGTTCCGGTGTTCAAAAGCTGCGTATATATAGCCGATAAAAATTGCGTGCTCATTATAATCGCCGATCACATGGCTTTATCACAGTCTCAAACCTTCAGACAAACATATCCACATTCCTCTCCCCCCCTTCGGACATCCTAAGACATTTTTCCTCTCCCCCCCTTCGGACATCCTAAGACATTTTTCCTCCCTCCCCCTTCCGACAGCAAAAATTTCCTCCGTGGGGG